GCGCGCGCGCGCGTGCGTGTGCGCGTGCAGCGTGTTACCAACGGTCGGTCCCCGGAGGACCGAGGCCGGGGTGACCCCAGCGAGGGATAGAGGCGACTCTGCATACTCATCCCCGGAGCGTCCTGTTTACTTTCAGCTTGGTTCCTAGGTGCCCATGCAGCCCACACACCTACATACATCCTTCACCCACGTTTCAACCTGAAGCCACCATCTGTCACCGAGACCAGACCTAACTCTCAGCGGAGGGTAACAAGGGCTTTCCAACAGTTATGCCAGTGTTTCTTCTCTGTTCCTCACAACGTCCCCACTGAGTTGGGCCTGGATGCTGTGGAGGGCCACATGGCAGCTTGCAGGCCTACAAGTCCTAAAACTAGGCTCGTGAGTTTGTAAAGCTCTTTGCCAACCAGCCCACGCTAGATGGCTGCAGCTTCTCAATTTTATGTATTTGTGTATGAAACCGCTCAGGTACACTTGGTTACTAACTGGCTACTGAGTGCTAGTAGCCTGAACATTGATGGTTTGAATCCACCCCGAGGCCCCTACAAAGACCTGTCAATCTGCTTCTGAAAGGTCCCAGCCTTGACAATCCTATGGACACAGCTCTACTCTGACAAGTGGGGTTGTCGCCATGAGTCCGAAGTGACTGCTTATCCAAAATCAAACCCATCGTTGCCCTTGATTCCTGTAAGACAGAACCGCCCCACTGGGATTGCAAGGCTATGAATCAGACTGCCACATCTTTCTCCTGTGGTGCTAATTGATTCCAACTCATAGCTGTAACTCATGTTGTTGTTGTTGTTATGTGCCATCGAGTCGGCCCCTCCTTGGGTTGCCGAGGCAGTATCACTACAGAAGTAGATTGCCCAGTCTTCCTTCTGAGGAGAGGCTGGTGGGTTTGAACCTCCAGCCTTCTGGTTAGCAGTCAAGTGCCTTAGGCACTACGCCACCAGAGCTCCTGCTGTAACTCATAGCAACCCTGTATGACAGACTAGAATTGTCCCAGAGGGTTTCCTAGGCTATAATCTTTACTGGAAGGAGCCCTGATGGCCAACTCGGCTGCTAACTGAAAGGTCAGTGGTTGGAACCCACCAGTTGCTCTGCAGGAGAAAGCTGTAATGATCTGCTGCCGTGAAGATTGACAGCCTTGGAAACCCTGTGGGGCAGACCTACTCTGTCCTATTGGGTCACTGTGAGTCAGAATGAACTCAGCAACAGAAATGGGTTTTGAATCTTTATGGGGCACATCACCAGGTGTTTTCTCCCAAGGAATTGCTGGTGGGTTTGAGCACTAACCTTTAAGTTAGCAGCTGAGCACCTAACCGTTGCGTCACCAGGGCTTGCTCGTACTGTTTACACAGACACATAATATATGCAAACACCGCCCACACATTTTTTAAGTCATCAGCATGAACAGCCCCGAGGCAGAGAGGGGCAAGAGGACAAACAAGTTTCACATGTTTAACTGTTTTTATCTGAGAGTCTTTGACAAGCAAAGCACCGAGAAAAAAATGCTTACCAAAAGCATATCGGCTTAGGCAATAGGGCCCAAATACAAACATATAGGAGAGGGGTTATTACTATAGAACCCTAACAAATGAGTCCTACAATGTGTACAGATACATTCTGACACCATCTTAGATAGTCTGTCTCGCTCCTGGTCCAAAACAAAGCATTTACTTTTATACAAAATGAGCTCATAAAGACTGTTAGCCTTTCTTCGTTTATCATACCTGATCAGCCGACACGTAGACATCTCACAGACAGGAGTGAGTGCTTTGTGGGAACTTTTTACCCAGGCAAGGGGGAGTGAAGGAAGCTGTCCCTTCCTGCCCTTCTGGTGGCTGTGACAGTCCCTGTTGACTTATGGGCAATGGTGGGGACGTGCCTTTGCCTGGGATAGACACTGAGTGGAAGCTGATCTTGGATAGCAGTTCTCACAGAAATAATAGAAAACTGTGTTAATTCCACAACGTGATGGTTTAAACGGGGGACGGTGGTGGTTCAGTGGTAGAATTCTCCCCTTCCATGTGGGGGACCTGGGTCTGGTTCCCGGCCAGTGCATGTCATGTAAAGCTGCCACCATCTGTCAGTGGAGGCCTGGGTGTTGCTAGGAACAGTTTTCAGCCCAACTGCCAGACTAAGACAGGAAGAAAGGCCCGGTGTATTTCCAAAAAACTGGCCGAGGAAAACTGTGTGGATCGCGGTGGTCTGATTCCCAGCTGGTTATGGAGCAGGCACAGGACCGGGCCGCGTGTCCTTCCATTGTGCCTAGGGCAGCCCCGAGTCAGGGCAGCTGACGTAGCAACAGCGGTTTACACGAGCTCATATGGGATTGTCTTGGAGCCCTGTCCAAAGCCTCAAAAGTTATTTAAGAAAAGGAGTTGCAAACACCTCCGTTCTCCCGAGATCCAGCTTCTGGGTGAGGAAGTGAGCGGATAAAGCTGGTGAAAAGATTGTACTCTGCAAGGGGCAACTGGGAGGAAAGGAACCCCCTCTTCTCAGAGAAATGCTTCCCTATTTGTTCCTTTCCTTTGTTCCCATAAGAGCTCACTTCATGGATTTTCCCAGAGTATTTCCATAGGTGGGAGCTCTGGTGGCATAGTGCCTAAGGCACTTCACTGCTAACCAGAAGGCTGGCGGTTCAAACCCACAGCCACTCCTGAAAAGGAAGGTTGGGCAATCTACTTCCGAAGAGACACCTCCTCGGAAACCCGAGGGTTGCTATGGGTCGGATCCGACTTCACGGCACCTAAGAACAACATTTCCATAGGTGGCATCTTGACTCTAACTGAGCACTCTCTCTGGGCAGGTCTGCACGGCAGCCCTTGACTAGGGCCATTGCTCCCTTGGGGATGGGTTGTGTACTTCCTCACTGCAAAGAATGAAACCATTCTTCCCTTCACATTTGGTGCTTACTGAGATCCATTTAAAACAAAGGAAAGTGTTCCTACAAAAGGTGGAGAACAACCTGTGTGTCTTTGGGTAAAGGTGAGCTTGGAAGCAGCGGGAGGCTCGCCTTCCAGACTGTGATGGAGACCATCAACAGCTCTGCAAATGGGTGCACCCTCCAAGATGCGGTCCGCTGTTACGAGCGAATGGCCAGCCCTTTGCCAGCTCTGCGTGTTTCAATTCTATGAGTAGGGTGGCATTAGGACGAGCAAAGGG